TTAGTGGAAACATAAATTAAAAATAATCAGAATAATCAAAATAATTATAGCACCAGTCATATAAATTCTGAGAGCCCACTACAACACCACGCATTATTTATAAAGTGAATAACTAGCACCATGCAAAACACCTGAAATCTTAATGAGACACTTTGAATCAGATAAAAAAAACATTCTAATAATACCTAAATTTAGCTCTAATGAAGGAAATCTTAATGGAAAAATAATCAAACAGCACAATCATGTACAAAATGAGCAGAGACAACTCAATTATTACCTTCCATCTGGATTGTTTGGCGACGTTAAGAATATGCATTTGGGTTTCTCTTGTTTAACAACCTCTGTTATGCGTTTTACATCCAAGCTAAAATCTTCCCTTCTTGGAACTGCAGTATGAACAACACAGAAGGTTTAGCACATCTGGCATGATATTATCATAAAAATTAAAGCACACTGAACTGATAACAAAGAAGCTTACAATTAGGAGACTAATACACGGACCTTATATATATATATATATTATAAGTCAATGTCTGAAGTTTTCTCATAAGTCTGATCATGAGATTAAATAAATTCACAATCTATGGTTCAATCTGTTTGAGAATCTCTGATTTTCTCAGGCATGAAAGGATTTATAATCTTTAGATAGGAATATATTTACAATGTATAATCTAGTTTGCTTGGAGGAAATAATATTCTTGCCTTTGATTACAAGTGCCCCATTAACTGCAGCATCAAACTCATACATGGTAAAGGTTGGAGGGCAATCCACAACCTTGTCTCCAGGATCCAGCACACAACTGCAGCATAGACAAACCTTGTATAAAACCTCAAAGGAAACAAAAAGGAGAAAAAAAGGGAATAATTATCAGCCCTTAAGTCATCCTATGCAGACATTTAAGACTAAAGTGAACAACAATTGGAGGCCTGTTAGACCACCAAAAGATTCTGTCCCATACCGCATGATCAAATCAATAAGCTCATCTGCACCACATCCTGCAAGGATATATTCCAACTCGAGGCCTGAATCTTGGGCAAGGGCTGCACGCAATCTGCGGCTTTCTGGGTCAGGATATACATATGGGAATCTCATTGATCCCAAGGCTTCCAAAACCTGTCAGAAACTTTGATAGTTTGCTCAGAAAATAATGTACAAATGAAATTCTCAAACAAATCCTGACACAGCCTTAAAACAAACTTCAACATCAAAATCTTATAAACATACAAAGTTGAGATATAATTTTAACCTTACTTCACTGTTTAACATCATACCCAATATTCAATACCATGGAATTGAAAAGACAAGTATTAGAGCTTGCCTCTGGAGGAGGACCATAAGGGTTTTCATTTGCATCTAACTTGATAATATCCTCAGGTTTTCGTCCAAGACAGGAAGATAAAACCTACAGCAACATGCCTTCATTTGTTAACAAATTGAATTGCAGTGCAATGAACAGGGTCTTTACAATTGTCCAGAAACTTGGGCTCTGATACCAAACCCAGACATTAAATTAGATTACAATTTTAACACGTTGTGGAGCATTAATGAATATAAGTAATAATTCCAAGAGTATGCTAAAAAGCCAAACTATGGAACCTGAAGCTAAAACATCTGCATACAATTTATTAACTATACAGTGTACTTTCAAAAGAAATGCCATTGTGGCTATAGTTAGGCGGAATCAACAAAACTAACAAACAAAAATGGACTTTGATGAGATCATAAAAGTGACCTCAAACGGCAAAATGGGCTGGTAAGGGGACAACTTCCTTAGATGCTCCCTAATAAAGGTGTCACCAGTTACTTTATTGACTTGTTCTACTGGAATGGTGGAGGCCATTGCCACAAACTTCTGATTCCTTGCAAATGAACAAGTAGGTAGTGATGACAGCCGAAAAGTAGTAGAGTTGCACAAATCAATAACCCCCATTTAATGCCTGCATAATGTTACACCATAGTAAAGCTTCATAGACAAGGAATATGTAAATGAACTGGATAGAAAAAGGAAAAAAAAAAAAAAGTTCCTCAACAGATTTTTTTCTTTCAAAAGTTGCCAAAAGCTAATGGGTTATATTCATTTAAAAAGGGTAGTTCTTTAACTTGAGTGTTAGTAAAACATTCAAAAATTCATTTTGTCATCAGATTCATCATTTTCTTAATGTTTATGTCTGATAACATCAGATTGAATAATTCCAGGCATAAATAAGAGATTGATGGGAACATCTAATGAAAATGGAAAGAAAAATAACACTTCATAAATAAAAGGGAAAATACAATAGTAGGTCCCTGTGCTTCAATTGTGCTTTGTTTTTAGTCCATATAATTTTATTTCATTGTTCCCAATTCCTGTAGTTTGATCCGTCTGCAGCATTAGACCTTACAGTTTTAAAACTGCAACAGCCATGAGCTATTACTGATGAAGTTAATTTTGCTATAACTCTACTAATCCCTTTGCTGACATGAAAATAATTTGACTATGTATGATTAAAAAAAAAAAAAGGTAAGGCGACACAAAAAAAAAAAAGTTCCTTTGTATATTTGGATTAAATAGAATGTGAGAGACAGAGAAGTAACAGTGTTAACAGAGTTGAGTATATATCAACAAAATTAACTTCTTTGGTGCCACTTCATGGTCCTTGTTTGCATTTTTTAAATTATAGGAATGTTGCAGATAGATCAAACTAAAACGACTAAGAACAACAAAATAAAACTATATGAATTAAAAAAACCAAACGCAATCAAAATACAGGGACATACTATTGTATTGTATTTTCCCTAAATAAAAATAGTTCTTGTATTCTTCAAGAAAAAAAAAAAAAGAATTAGTATTAAACAATAACAATCGAAGTAGAATTGAGATTATATATCTTGATTTTTATATAAAAAAAATCAAGAAAATTAGATATTTAGTCCAATATTTTTTTATTGATTTTAAAGTTAGTCCCTAATTTCATAATTTTCAAAAAATCCGTTAAATATGTAAATTTTGTGTTAGTCCTCAATATTTTATGAAATTATCAATCCACTCTTAAAATCTACCAAATCAGTGAAAATTGAATTTAGCCAAGGTTATGGACATCACTACCTGCTGATTTGTTCTTCACTCAACTGAATTTGAGGCAAATTTTTATCCTCAATTGGTGCACCCGAGTTCCATACCTATGACAAACATTTGAATATTCGATACTAAGATGACACTTTGATGTAAAGTTAACAATGCAAGGGAAAGAAATCTACGGAGCAAATTTTGGGAAGCATATGACTAGAATCTAGAACTTGTCAAAGATAGACAGATAATAAGGAGTAGATACAAATAAAAGTGAATCCCATACATACTTCAACACTTCTATCTCAATCTCACCCCCTAAATATATGGTGCATTACTGCAGTGGATGTCAATTCGTTGTTCTGATGCCTGAACAACTTTCAAGAAGATAAAGATATTCTACCAATAATCTCCACAAGAGCATTCTCCTTCTTTAAAATGATGAAAACAATTTGAATCCCTCAAAATGATATGACGAAGGAAGACTCTTGATATATATTTTATAGCAGTATGGCAATCCCCACAAACTCGGAGATTCTTAAAAATTCGAATTGGTGCACCTGATGGTGAAGCAATAAGTCCAAAAGCAACAGCTAGCTTTTCACTATGATAAGCAAGCCCAATCTCCTTTCCCTCCCCATCCATGTCATGCAAAGCAAAACTCATATCTGGAACGTAGCCAGCCTCCTTGATTCTTATTATTATTTCATCCATTTTGTCATATATCTCAACTGTTCTAGGATGTCCTCTGTCTTCAGACAGGAAGATATAAATTCTGCTGTTCATCTCAATCCAGCTGCACCCTGGCTCTTTGACTATTCCCTTTGATTTCATCAACTTCCGAATTTTTGCAGCATCACCCCATTTGTGAGCAGCAGAATACATGTTAGACAACAGAACATAAGGCATAGCATTCATGGGTTCCAACTCAAAAAGGTTTTGGGCTGCCATCTGTCCCAATTCTATGTCTCCATGAACTCTACATGCAGCAAGCAGTGCCTTCCACACAGTTGCATCTGGTTTGACATCCATTTGATTTAACAAATCCTTAGCCTCATTAAGCATTCCTGAGCGTCCGTAGAGATCAATCATGCAGGCATAGTGTGTAGGACCAGGTTTTATTCCATATATCTTATCCATTTGTTGAAAGTACATGCGACCATCATTTACAAGTCCCGCATGGCTACAAGCAAATAATAATCCAATAAATGTGATAAAATCTGGCTTTGTGCCACTTGAAATCATGGCATCATAAAACATCAGAGAGTCCCTTCCTTTACCATTTTGTGCATAACCAACAATAAGAGCTGTCCAAGTAATTACATCCCGGGTTTGCATAGAGTCAAATATGCAATTGGCATCATCTAAGCATCCACATTTTGCATACATGGTCACAAGCGAATTTTCTATTGACAGTGATGATTGAAGGCCAGATTTAACAAAATCTGAATGCACTTGTTTCCCAAATTCTAGAACAGTCAGTTCTGCACAGGCACTCAGAACACTGGCAACAACAACCTGGTCAGGTTTTATTCCAACAATTCTCATGTCACAGAACATCTTCAGGGATTCTTCATGGGATCCATTGTGTGCATAACCAGTCACAAGGGAAGTCCACGAGACAACATCCTTCTCCTGCATATGCTTGAATACCACATATGCACAATTCAAGTCTCCAATTTTGGCATACATGTCGACAAGGGCATTGCTAACAAGCTGATAATTCTCAAATCCGCTCTTGATTACCAAACAGTGAACAGATTTTGCATTTATACTGACCATTATGCAACAATTTAGGACAGATGGAAATGTATAATCATCAATCTGCATGTTTCTTGCATGCATTTTTTTGAACAAAAGGAGAGCTTCATCTTCAAACCACGCCTCACACACCCAACTATCATGGAGTTCCATGACACAACATCATCAACCTCCATAGTGTCCAATACCTTTTTAGCACTATCCAGGTCCCCACATTTTGCATACATATTAACCAGTGCACTTTGAACATATATGTTGGTCCCAAAACCACTCCGAACAATGCAACCATGGACCAGTTCCCCAAAACATTGAGATGAAACAGAAGAACATGCTGTCAATATGCTTGGAAATGTAAAATGATTCAATTCAACCGCTTCTTTGTGCATATCATGGAAAAACTCAATTGCCTTGTGACCATCCCCACTCTGAGCATAACCAGTAAGCATAGATGTCCAAAGAACATTATTTTCTCTACTGTTAGAAAAGAACTTGAAGAGATATTCAGCTTCTGACATGCGCTTGCACTTAGCATACACATCAACAAGGTTAGTCAAAACATATACATTAGATTCAAATCCAGACTTCAACACATACCCATGGATCAATTCCCCACTTTGGATCAGCCCTAACATTGAACATACCCTTAGCATGCTTGCTAAAGAGTATTGGCTGGGCTTTTGACCCTCCAACCTCATTTGTTGAAACAAATCAAAAACTTCATATCCACAGCCATATTGACAATACCCAGAAATAAGACATGACCAAGTGATAGAACTTTTACATGGAATATCATCAAAAACCTTTCTTGCTTCAACTAGCTTTCCTGAATTAAAATAAGCAGCCATCATAGTATTCCAAGTATACTCATCCCGTTTGGGCATACTATCAAACACTTTCCGAGCTTCATCAATCTGGCCAGATTTTGAGAGCTCCTTTAGAAGTTGATTTGAACGGAACAAAGTTTGACAAGAATTCACGATGCTTTGAACACAACGAGCAAATTGCATCAATTTGAGCTGGTTACATGCGTGGTTTGAAAAACTCGGAAATTTGGAATTTATTATGTACATAACCACTTCTCCGTGCTCCTTTATTGCTTAAAATGAGGTCCAACTTCAGTAAATCAGCGAAAGATCACACATTTTGCAGCGAGAATGAATATGATAGTAAATTTAACATCAAAATCCTCACACATAAGAGTAGAACAAAGATATGAACAGAATTACAAAAATAATAGCCGGCCACCCAGTGTAACCATCATCATATAATAAAATTCCGATTTGAAATTGACCGGCACTGGTAACAAACAAAACTTCAAACCACAAATCACATAAACAGATAAACACTGCCTGCTTGTCAGAATGTGCATCTTTTTTTTTTGTCAGAATGTGCATCATTAAAGCAAATTATTCTCTTCAGCAGCATAAAAAATGGAACTTAGTGCAAAGCCGAAAAATTATTTAGGGGAAGATAATGAACAAAAAGAAACCAACAGAGATTTCAAAAGTGCCACATCAGTTTATATTAGAAAGAAAGCAGTGAACTGAACATCTAAAACACAAGCCCAACAAGCAGATTCACAAGCTCGATGCTTACACTGAATCGACGGAAATCAATGGGGGCTGCAAGGTGAAAGTCCCCCGGAGGCAGAGCAGTAGCTGGTGAGCGGAGGATGAAACGAAAGTGCCGCACGCCCTGTCTCACCCAAGGAACCGAAAAAAAGAAAGAAAAACATAGTCTCACGTGCTCAGCACATTCAATCATTTCAACCCCATTTCCATAATCATCGTAATTACAATTATGCCATTGCCAAAAACACCTAGGACAAAATGGAAAATTATTAGAATAAATAAAAAAAAAATTATATTTACAAAAAACTGAAATATATTTTTAATCATTTAATTTTATATAAGATTATATTTTAATTTTTTAATTTTATAAATTATATTTTCAATCTTTTAATTTTAATATCATTAGTTTCATCTCACAAAAAATGTGTATTTATTGAACTTTTAAATATTAACAAAATATTTTAAATATTAATTTATTAAATTTATATTTTAAAAATAATAATGATTGACATAAAAATAATAATAGAAATTAACAATATTAAAATTAAAAGAATAAAATATATCTTATAAAATTAAAGAATTAAATTAAATTTTATATAAAATTATATGATAAAAAATATAGTTTAAATTATCAAAATTATAATGAAAGGAAATTAGTGATTTCGAGAAATAGCAACAATTTTGGGTCAAATGACAGTAAACTTGCTTGCCATAATCTATCCCTGTGCCAAATGAGATTCAATCTGGACTTCAAACAAACAAAATACAACAAGATAGAATTAAGGGTGAGCATCGGTCAATTCAATGCCAAAATATGAAAAACTGATCAACCAAACAACATTAAAAATATAAACCAAATTGAATAAGACAAACTAATCAAATCGAACAAGGACCAAATCGAAATTTAATAATTTGAATTTGGTCAGTTAATTTGATTTTTTGGTTTCAGGTTACTTGAAATTGGGCGCGCCCATTTTTTTAAATATTAAAACAAACAAGATTATAAAATTGAGCTTTTTTTTTATTCATTTTTTTTCAATAGGAGCCCATTTTAATTACACTCATATGACATAAAGCCCAAAGATTATAGAAGCATGGATGATCAAATAAATAGCCACAAATAAACAGCCATGGATGATCAAATAATAGTACCATAATCTAATCAAAGCCCCATAATCCAAACACAACCATACTAAAAATACATGATTGTGCTATGATGGCCACTTTAAATCATTCTGGTTTTAATTCTTGACTTGCTAAGCTCTTGGACATGTGAGGCCAGTTTTTCAATTTGTAGGCTTTCTCATTAAGAGAATAGTGCTATATTGATAGAGAAAAGAAGATAACTTCAAATATCCTTTAAGTCTTCAACCATAAAATATTGAGCAATTGTCAAAATAAGTCTTCAAAATATTAAAATTAAACAGCCACAATGCCATAAATCCAATCACAGTCTTTAAAGTTTAAATAGCCATAGTGCCATAATCCATAGAAACCAACAAGTCTTCAAAATATTAAAAATTAAACCATTACAATAATCAAATATCTAGATTAGTAAAACAAAACAAAATTAGTAGCCATCATAAATGGAGCACCACAGCACTAGCATTTTACAACCTACATTACACAAGTAAAAATCATATAAGAAGCCAAGAATTATTAATGAATTTAGTATCAAATTTATAGCAAAAAGCTAACATGTAAAATAATTGCCTCAAATCATTAAGAACAAAGGCTTACAGTATAGCCACATTTGATTCTATAGCAATTTTTTTGAAGATCTAAACATAAATAAAGTATTTAATATTAGTATCATTTAATCAATATCTCAACATTAAATTTAAAACAATATAACACACAATAAATAAACTCCCTCAATCTTTTACGCATCATCTATCTTTTCTTCTACTAGAACTGGAAGTGAGTGGCGAAGCCAATCTTGAGCATAAACAAGAGATTGTACAACTTTAGGAGTTAAAGAGCTTCTAAATGAATTTAGATCATATCCTCGAGTGCTAAAAGTAGACTCAAAAGCAATAGTGAAAATTATGATAGCCAAAACATCCCTTGTCAATTGAGAGAGAATGGGGAATCTAGGCGCATTCAACTTTCACCAACTTAAAATATTAAAATAATCCTTATCCATCTCAATTTTTTTAGCCAAATACTTGTCAACTTCTATTCTACTAATTCTCCCACCAAGCCTTTTTGGTCATGAATTTTTTTTCTTTTTATATTCAAGAATTTTCTTAACTTTCACAGTTGGGTCATCATCTTCATCAAATTAGTAGCAATTAAATAATTGTTGCTTTTCAACTTGCTTTGAGGGAGAGAGGCTCTCTTTATACTCATTATACAAAAAAATTAGCAAATCATTCAATTGTCCTCCAACTTGCCATCAACCTCACTAGAATAGATCTTACAAAGTGAGTATTGCACCCACTCAAGCTTATATTGAGGATCAAGAATAGCAGCCACAAACATCAATTTATTAATTTTTAAAGGATCTCCCCAATACTTATCAAATTTTTCCTTCATTTTATTAGCCATTGAAGAAAACTCCAAATCATTACATTTTCTCCACTCATCTAAAAGGCGGAATAACATATAAATCTCATGAAAAAATTCATTAGATGCGACAAATGAAGAACTAAAAACATGCAAAGTCAACTCATAGAAATGACTTGGAAATATCATCTTTCTTAAGTTTGTCCAATCTTCAACATTAAGCACTCCCCACTTTCAAGATCAATCCTAAAGTAAGGTCCTCATTCTCAAACATTCTAAAAGCGACCTCAAACTTTTGATCTATCTCCAACATCAGATAGGTGGAGTTCCAACTAGTAGAGGTATCTAGAGACAACAATTGCTTGCTTGGAATTTGCTCATCTTCACAACTCTCTTTGAATTTTTTTCATCTTAAGTGGATATTGTCTCACAAAATGAACAGCCCCCCTTACTTTCTTTACAAAAGTTCCTATTTCTTTCAACCCATCAACAACAATTAAATTAATAATGTGAACCATCCATCTCATATGTAAAAACTAACATCTCATAACAAAATGACCCCATTTATTAATTTGTTTCTCTCAAGTAAGAAACAACACCATCATTAGTAGAGGCATTATCCATAGTGATAGTAAACAATATTTCAATCCCCCATTCAAGCAAACATTTCTCTATTTTCATTTCAATATCCCTCCCTTTATGACTAAAGATTAGAACAAAATTTAAAATTTTTTTAATCAAAATCCAATCAGTATCAATAAAATGGGCTGTAATACACATGTAGTTGATTTTTTGAATTGAAATCCAAGTGTCAAGTGTCAGTAGTGAGGCAAATCATTCTCTTACTATTGATAAAAAAAATCCTTGAATTCAATTTTTTTCATCAATATAAAATTGAAAACAATTATGAGCAACAATCCATCTAGAAAGAATATTAAATTTTGGTTGAGCATGGACATAAACCTCTTAAATCCTATCCTCTCAACAAATTTAAATGGCAATTCATCAGTTACAATCATAGCAGCCAAACTTTTCCTAATAGCATCTTGATCAAATTTTCAAGTACCAAGAACAATAACATCATCTTCTACACTAAAATTTAAATGTATTTGCCTAGGCTCTTTTGGTTTCGATCGTTTCTTGCATATTGTTACATGATTTTGTAGTATAGTAGTACCATTTCTTTTAAGATCACTAAAAAACTTTTTTTCACAGTAGTTGCACTTAACTTTGGTCTCTCCATGCTTATTCTCATATTTGGTGAAATGATCCTAGACCTTAAATCTTGGCCTCATGGCTTTCCTCTTTAACCTTTACAAGGAACTCACTACTTCAGTTCCATTCGATGCTACTAGGGCTTTATTTTCTTCATTAACTTCATTTTGGTTTATAGCCATAGCTTCAGCTTGAGAAGACATCTATGAGAATGCACAAGCTGTCAAATAGTGAGCAAAAATAAAAAATAAAAAGTAGAGACAGTGTAAAGAACACACAAGCAGTCAACTAATAATTTCCCAATAGCATTTTCCTTTGTTGCATTTTGGTTTGAAAGGAACACATCACATAAATAAACAAAATAAAGAAGTAGAGGTAGAGATGGAAGACAAATCTCAAAACAAAAAAGAGCAATGAAGTAGAGGTAGATATGGAAGATGAACCTCAAAATGGTGCGAGATTGAGACGAGAGAACAAAGAACACAAGCATGTTGATTAGGAGTGTGAGAGATTGTGAGATTAGCAGAGAGTTAAGACTAAGATGCTAGCTTATAAGTGGGTTGTGACGGACGGTGAACAGAGATAAGGGCACACGAGCGTTGAGCTAGAAAACAAAGATAAGAGAATGCGAGCGGTGATAGGGGTAAACAAAGATGAGAGACTGAGACGCGAGTTAGACTGAGACTAGAGACAAGAGATGAGAGAATGTGAGCGCCTAACTAGAGATTATAGAGATGAGAGACTAAGATGTGAGAATAGAGATAGGAGATGGAGCTGAGATGTGAGAAAGATGGGTGATGAGTGATGAGAGAGAGAGAGTGAGTAGCGACTAACTGCTTGAGAAAGACAACTTGAGAGTTGAGACAGAGTGACTGAGTGAGGGTTAGGGTTTCTTTCAACATTCAAGTAATATTATTATATTTTTATTTTTTATTTAAAAATAAATGAAAAATAAAATAAAATAATTATAAATTATATATAATTTATAAATTAATAAATTATATATAATTCGGTTAGTTCGATTTATTTGATTTTAAATTTTACTAACTGAATCCAATAGATCAACTGAAATATTTAAAAAAAACTCAAATTGAACCCAAAAACTAAATAGACTAATCAAATAATAAAATCTTGATTCGATTTTCAATTTCAATTTGGTTTTACTCACAGACAGAACAGTGGAACACAGCATGCAAGATGTGGGGGAAAAAGAAAGAGCAAACAAGAAAGGAAATGCAAACAGTGAGTCCTGTAATATCCTCTTCTTCTAACCTGATTAACTTCAAATCTCATTTAATAAAGAGATTGGATTAAGATAGTTAACATAATACCAAATTGCAAATGGGTGGAAAAGTTGGGACCTTAAGTTTTCAAAACTAAAACCATTCCTAACGATCTTTG